CTAGTCTGCTTCGTTGCAAGCATTAACAATATATTAGTTAAATAATAAATGTTTTCATATTAAATAATACAATGTCTAGGGTGTGCTTCAAAATAATTTTGGATTACAATTAGTGGATGCAAGTATAACTAAAACCATTGATCATGAGTGAAGAAATGTTAAACTGGGTAATGAAAGTTCATTATACTATTCTCTGTACTTTTTCTGTATGTTTAAATTGTTCAGAATGTTTTTTTTTATATAAAGAGGGTAAGAATCACACAAACACATATGCGAAGTCCTTAAGTACACTTTGTAAGCTTCTATGTCACAATCTCTCATCAAAGAGCTAGCAAGTACTAATCAGGCTGGTCTGAGTTGCTCTTCTCTTCACTGTATCCGAAGGACAAAAACAGAGGAGAAAGAACAGACCTCCCAAAAAAACACATATGAACTGGATATTTTACCTCTTGTATTAGTTATAGATTAGCCCTACTTAGAACTTTCACCGAACTTAAATGCAACCAGTTTCAGAAAACATGAATTATTCCTTAGTCCATGGGGTAACTATTAGATGTTATAAGAAGGTCATAAAATTTCCCTGGAAAAAATTGCCAGAGAATCAAGTCAGCCTCAGGGAAAGGGAAAACATGGTTCACTATTTCAAAGCAGATAGAAAATTCATGATAAAATTTGTCAGTATGCTGACACTTTTATAATAAATATTAAACAAGTGCATATAAATGAATATATGAACAATAATAAAAGTTAAAAAAAAAGGCTGATCGTTAGTGACAAGAGAATCTCTATTTAGATCGAATAAGTAATGAGAGAAATTCTGCATAACTCTGTAAAATGTTAATGTCTTGGTGAACACTGAGGGTCCTTTTTCAAATATTTGCCAGAAGTTTTCAGAACTTGGTCCCTGCTCAGTCTGAATCACTTCACCCATGAACATGGGCATCCTGGGAGCAGAAAAGTTCAGACCAGACTCAGAGCCCAGCATTCACAGAGCCTGAGCCCATCCATGGAAGCCCAGGATAGCTGGCTGCAGATGGGCACTCAGACATAACTGTCCCCAAAAGACAAAGCCCGGGTGAAGATTCAGGCAGCAAGCTTGCCACACCACTGCCACCATTCTGAAAAAGGTCTTTTGAAAATTTTTATTGCCTTAGGTTCCAGAGCAAGTGTGAGCATAAGTAAAGGAAGAGGAGGCAAGAAGAAAGAGAAGGAGGGAAATGGCAGACAAAGGAGAGAGGGAGAGAAAGTTTGTGACATGCTTTCCTCTTCTCTCAAAGAATAAGTGACATCACTGTCTTCAAATGAGATCAAAAAGTTAAAAATTCCCAAATCAAATTTTATTTATATTTTTCTTACAACAAATACTATATGTTAGCTTATATTTTGTTTAAGTATACTTGTCTCTGTCATTATAATCCTGGAGGGAATAAGGGCATTTTAAAAAGCCATGGCCACTATAACAATGACTCTATTTGTCTTCAGAGCTTGTTGTGCTTATTAATTAATCAATTAATTGATCCATACAAGTACAGTCAACTGATAAGTGACAAGCAACAGCTGAGAACCTGTAGATTAGATAATATACCCAATATATTTAGTTCTTCACACTTAATCATACAATGACAGTGTATAAGAGAGTTGCTAGCTGCCATCTTATTTGTTACCTTACATAGCAAACATATTTTGCATCTTTTCACATGTGGCCAGAACCAAAAGTTGACACTCTAAGGAATGTATATCCTTAAGCAATTTAATTCAATATTGCACCCATCTCTAACTATGGTTTAAGAAAACATGCTTTATAATTCATGTAAAAAAAATTTAAAGATTGGGCTGGGGTTGTGGTTCAAAGGTAAAGCACTCGCCTACCAAGCCTGAGGCACTGGGTTCGATCCTCAGCACCACATAAAAATAAAATAAAGATTTGTGTCCACCTATAACTAAAACATAAATATTTTAAAATTTTAAGATAAATAATTTTCAAACCAAGAGAGAAAGATAGGTTTATTTTGTATCTTTTCATGCTAAATAGAGTGCATATAACTGAAACAGGACTGTCAGAAAAGAAAGATCTTAACAATGAGGTGTTAAACAGGGATTGCTGTCAACTACATTTACATCCAAATCAGTCAAGTAATTACCTTGATTTAAGTTTCATCACCAACTATCTTAAAAGTTTTTTTTTCTCTAATTGATAATCAAGAGTATGCTAAACCACTGCTTTGAAAACTGCTTAAGAGTTTGGGGAGCATCTTGTCCAAGGCACTGAAGTTCACAAGCAAAAACCTAAGAGTCAAAAGTACCAACTGACTTTATCAGGTTGGAGGTGAAATCATGACTGAGGTAGCACCCAAAACAGCATAACCCCACAGAATACTGTCTAAATTGTGCAAATTATTTATCCGAAGAAATACACAAACACATATAATGACCTTAAACTTTGGCACTTTAATTCAATTGTTTCCTTAAGTCTGTAAATATTTATTGATTCAGGAATCATAATAATATCAGTTGACTTTTTAAATGTAGTGACTATCCTGGGGTTTTTCCCAGCCAGAGTGTTATACAAAGAGTCTGGAATATATCTTAGACACATAAATTTCAGCCTGCTGTACTAAAAATAGCAGAGCCCTCTGGAAAGACTTACAGGACATAAAAGAAGTAGTACATAAAATAGAAACACAGTACTGAGTTATTGAATGCTGATTAACTGTTGTCCTCAACTCCAAATATTTTTTTAATTCAGTGAGCACATATTTTTGGAATTTAATTAAAAGTCTAGTTATTACAGGACATAAAAATAGGTAAGATTCATTAAAGAAAAATACTGTGGACCTTGAACCTTTGTTTGATTGTTTTTATCTACTTACTCTAAATGGGTTTTCTTTTTCCCTTTTTGTACAGCAATCTCTTTTTAAAATAATTTTAAGATAATTCTAGAAAATTTTTATCGGATCATGTTTGTGGAATTTTGTACATTAGTGGGATCACTTATACTTTGTAAAGTGTTCCCTCATAAAGATATAAATATCATAAAAAGTTATGCTTTATATAAAAGTGAAGGAACTTCTGTTTTACTTACATTTTATAAAAATAATTACTGCCCACCTCTGAAGCACCAGTACATACATGATGTGGTTACTTTATAACTATTGATTAAAAACAAATTGCTAATTTTAGGACAAAATAATCACCATTATAATTTAAACCAATTTCCAGTGCTCTAAAAATTACAACAGAAACTCAAAAATTCAGTCTGTTATTTTACTTTGTTAAACATTCCACTAACTATTTCCTTGCAACACTTTCTTCTGGCTGTTTCTATAACTAGAGAGGCTTTTTATTCTGTTCCTGTGGGTGCTGACAAATACATTTTACATGTATTTTCATTATTATAAAAGTAAGTTTTATTTTCAAAATCTGTTATTTACTAACAACATGCACGATAAATGTGAGTAGTGTTTTTACATACAAGATCTTTCAAAAGACTCAATTAGCTACTTTCAAGGAAATTAGTTTTGATAAAAAAAAAGATAATATTCAAGTTCTTTCAATTTGCAGGGTTTTTACTCTTATGTTTAAAAAAAATCTCGTAATTTGAGTAGGTTTTTAAGTTTAAGTATGATTCCCCTTTATTCGTTTGGTTTTTATCCTCCCCCCACCCCATCACTTCTATATCACCTGTGGAACTCCGATATGAATGGCATGCTTTTTTTTTTTTCCTTTCTTTCTTTTTTTTTTTTTCTTTGCAGGGAAGAGCCCAAGAGAGAATTCGCCTCTCAATGACCCTGCTCCGCCCCGGTTTACTCCGCAGTGATCCTTAGAGGAAGAATTTTCATAACGCATTAGAATTAGAACCACGAACTGGTGTGATTTTGAAGAAGTTAATGCTTAGCTGTTTAAAATTCTATTTTAAGCTGGTTATTATAATTCCTTTTAAAACAAAAGAAAAAAAGGAAAACTACTTTTGATGTTACAAATAAAAGGTTTCATTCCTGATGCCAGATTGCTCTGTTCGTTTATCTTGGCCCTATCGGTGTGCGGGGCGGAGACGGGGGAGGGGGGGTTGTCTTTTTATTGAATAACAACAACATCTGATCTCGGGCAAAGGATCTGAACCAAACGGGAAAAGGTGATATGAACCAGCTAGATCCAGCTTGAGGGACAATGCCCCCCTTGGTTGATAGATATGATTAAGACCTTCATGTTTGATCTACAGGGAAGTTGCAGCGATGCGGTTCCCACATGAACAAATACTGGCACTTCCTTCAGGAATCCCCCGTAACTAGGTAGAAAATACGTAGCTCGCTACCTACAAAAGAGTGGACACGGGGGTTGACCTGGAGGGAGGAGGGTGCGAAGTTAGTAACGATGTTTTGAGAAACAATCTCTTCCTATTCTCTTCCTATTCTACTCTTCCTTTCCGATCCCCCCCTACAAGAGGGAAAAAAAAATATGTATCAACCAGGATCCGAATAGCTTGCGTTTTCTTGCAACATTTCGTGCCTGATAATTAATGATGCCCGCGCCGGGAGCCAGTGGCCAGGGCTCGGGTTCAGGCAGCCAACAGCCCCTGACGTCAGCGACCGTACTGCCTGCGTCAGGTCCCTAGCAGTCCCTGGGGTGGCCTGGGCTAGAGCTGCAGGGGGGGGGGATGCGGAGCGGGAACCCCTGGCAGGGCAGGATGAAGCCCCAGAGGGGGCGAAAGGGGCTTCCCTTGGCGCCCGCTAGAAACTCCTCTCCCAGTTAAAACCGCAAAGCTTGCAGCTCCGGAGGATTAGCGGGTACCCCAGACTGCGACCAGGTCTGTAGGCCCAAACCCCCAGCGTTGGCTCCCCGGGTTAGACCAGGGTGAGGGTTTTGGAGAAAGGGGCCAGAGAGAAGAGCTGGCTAAGTCTGTGAACACAGAGTGCTTCCTTCCTTCCTCTTTTTTGAGCGTCAATGCAAAGTTGTTTTACCCTGAATCCAAAAGATGTGGACCTAAAATGAAATGGACTCACCGTTTCCGTTTCTACCTTAACTCGACACAACGTGGAGTTGCTCGCATGGAGTTTCTCGCTAGAGATCAGCCTGGTCTACCAGAGGTTGCGGAGACCCGTCACTGGGGGAAAGAACCCGACAGCGCAATTAACCATCCACTCTTTTTCCTCTCCCCAACTTCCTTCTTGTCCCACTTGTCACCTCACCTTTAGACTAGATTTTATCACCCTGCCAAAGTGGAGAGTTCTCGAGAATATGGAAAGGTTTGATTTTTCTACAGGGGACCTTGGCCTCTGCCATACAGGAAAAGTAGGAGTAGCCCACGTCCCAAGGTCGGAGGGACCCAAGTTTGGGGCGTCCTGGGCCAGTGCTTGGGACTGAGTCTACACGAGATCACCGTGGAACTGACCCTGGAGCTCCCATAGGCCCTGTCCTATCTGGATTTCTGCAGAATAAGTTTTCGAGAATAATCTCTCTCCCTAGACTCCTTACTTTGAAAGTTGTTGGGCTTTTTTGTGTGTGTGTGTGTGATAGTAGTTGCCTTTCTCGTTAAATTTCCATCTTTTCATTTACACCCCCCGGGGGGGGGGTAGTGGGGGAGGGGGACAGGAGGAAGGTGGGGTAGAGACTCCCTGGGCAAAGATTTGAGGCCCCAAATTGCTTATTGTAGTTTTCTGTAGTCCCAAGTAGAAGCCCTGGCCGACCCAGCAAAAACCAGCGGCAAAAGACAACTCAGGTGCAGAAAACTGAGGCTACTGTCTGGGGAGACCTCTCCCCAAAACAGCAGCTAAAGGAAGTCAGCGGTTGGAGGGCCACAGGCACAGGACCAGAGCACGATTTCCCTTCCTCCCGCTTCCACCCTGAGAGTGGTTAGAACTCAGGCTGGAGCTAATTTCTCTGCATCTCCAATTGAGAGCAGTCAGCGGGCTCTGTCCTTGAAGGAAAGAGAAGAAAAGCATTTTCTGGGGATGTTTTTTTTTAATTAAAGCTTTAATGACGACTTAATAAAAGGACACCTTTCCCGAGTCCAGTCCGTCAATACATATAGAGGGAGTCGGCGCACCCTCCAAGTAAGTGGCCTCCTAGTCCCGCCGCTGCAGCGACATCTCCAACTGCAGTGTCATCTGCGAGACCCCGGGCACTGCAGGTTCAGCCGAGGCGCAAGACCAGGACTTTGGCCAGCCTGTCTTCCTTTTGTGGGCTCCAAAGTCAGGAAATAAGTCGAACCAAATTAAACTGAGACTCATCAACTTTGAAAAAGCCTTTAAAACCTGTGACTGTCCTGCCTGTGAGTGCCACGCAGACTAGTGGATATAAATAGTCCCACTCTAGTATTTCAAAACTGCAAGTTAAACAAATAGATATAGATATATATCAGTCTCAAAAAAAAAAAAAAAAGGTATTCCCTTAAATGAGACACTACCTTCACAGGATTGTCTGCTGTTAGGACTTTTCAGACAGGAATTCTAATTAGAAGACGACCAGCCTTCCATTCAAGCCTTGCCTCCAAGTGGAGGCCTGAAGCGTTTCAGGAATGGCTCTGAGAAGGTTTTTGTTTTGTTTTGTTGTTTCTTGCTGTTTATTTGTTTGTTTATTTAAAGGAGCTAGGGATGTGACTTTTATCCAGCATCCTTCGCTGCCCTTTTCAGGTTGGGCCTGCCTGACACTTGGTTAAGCCTCAGGACTTAGAAAGATCATTTCCTAGAACACTAATTTGAGCGAAATCTGGATTCAGAGCGTGGGTCTCCACGCCCAGCTCGAATGTCTAATGTATCAAATCCTCGTTAACTAACGGCCCGCTCCGTGGCCGTGTCAGCCAAAGGTCAGCCCCGTGCAACAGGGCAGAGTGGTTCAAAAGCCCTCTTCCAGCGCCCTGTCTCCCCCTCCCCCCCCCAAAAAATCCATCTTTCACATTTCAATAACAGAGCACACTGGAGCTCCCAGAAATACCATGGCTGTTTTTCTTTCCTTCCTTCTTTCTTCACATCAGTGACAGGTAAACGACGTGTCCTAAGGCAATTGCTAAAAAATTAAGTTTTTTTTTTCCCAGTGGGAAGGGAGTGGTGTTAGTGGACAAGGTAATTGTCAAAATGTCCTCAAGAGGCACGTACATTTGAGAAGCTGTGACGCCTTAAAATCTTAAAATAGTAATGATAATTCCGCAGCATTTCACTAGAAATCAGGGGTAAATTTTGTTGGCGACCTTAGTGATTAGAAACTGCTTAGGGGGAGAGCCAATTCCTCTCCCCGCTGCCCTTCCCTCTTTAAAGACCCTCAGAAAGCTGATTTTTTTTTTTTTAAGATAGCTTTGGTGTCCACAAGGCCAGAGAGGATCCAGGAGAGCATGGCCGGGCCCCTCTTGCTCCTGCTTCATCGTGGAGCCCCGCTACACTGCTGACTACCTTGGGGTCCTCGGCGTTCACACGCTCCAGAGGCAAAGGCCGAATTGGCGTGGCTGCTCCGAACCGGCCCAACTTCTTGGCGCGCGCCCTAGGCCACGCGCGCGCGCGCAGTCGCGGGCCGCGTCCGCTGGGAAGGTGGTGGGGCGGGGTAGGGGAAGAACTCCACTTACCAGGTCTGGGGTCTAGATTTCGGGCAAGGTTGGCAGCCGAGAAAGGCCAGGCAGAGAGTCAGTCCTACTGGATACAGGCAATTTGGGCAGAGGCTAAGGCGCAAGTGAGGGGAAGGAAAACGCCTATGCGGTGTGGGGTCCCCTTTAGCCTTGGCCCCCACGTCCCCAGCCGCCGCCTCCACGAACTAAGCTCGGCCTGGCCAGGGGAGGCTCCTGAGCCCGCGTTGCCGCCATCAGCCAGAGCCTCCGGGTCTCCAGGGCTCTGGCGCCGACCCCGGGGACGCCCGGGGGGGCGGGGAAGGGGCGTCCCTGCTCTCCAGCCCAGGAGAGGATAACTGCTTTCCCGACTTGGAGGCTGGCGGCCAAGCTGAGCAGCCCGGCAAGTCCGCAGCGCCGGCCGGTGGCGTGCAGACCCCAACCCGCTCCCGCCTCCGCCCCTCCCTTCCCTCAAGCCCCTCGCCAAATGAAAAGGGTTCTTTGGGCCTTGGCCTTTTGGGAAAGACGCGGGAACCCACGCTGGGTTTGAGCTTTCTGCTCCGAGAAAGCGCCATACAGGTCCTCATCACTAGCTGTGAGGCCAGACGATCTAGATCGGTCCCCCGACCCCCATATCCAGACACAGAAAGACCCAAATCGCAAAGGAGGGTATTCTGGGGTGACCCTGTGGCGGAGATTCAAGGATTCTGCGACCCTGACCAGACACTGGTCGCCCAGAGGCCTTCCAGAGCCTCTGATAGGGGAACCCTCGTGCACCAACCAGTTTGCTCACAGTCACCGGGAATCGGAAGTGCGTGGCTTCTGCCAGGCCTCCACGAGCCCAACGCTGGGCGGTGGTGGGTGGTGAGGCAGGCAGAGAGCCCAGGGCAAATGCTCTTCTCTGGTCATCCCCGGGTTATAACAGTCTGAGACTAGACTTGAGCTCAGATGCTGGTTAGGAAGAAAGGCCATGTCCTGGCAGGAATGTTTCCAAAACCTCTCCCGGCGTCCTCAAGTTCAAAGCCAAAGACTTGGCGAGTGCTGTTGGACGGGTGGTGTGGTCTCAGGATTCCAGAACTGGCACTCTGAGTTAGACTGTAATGTGAACTGCGTAGTGACCGAGGCCTTTCCTGTTGTCAGTGAGGGAAGTGGGTTCTATCTATTCTGTTGCAAGTGAAATCCAGAGGAGGATTGGGACCTGTTGTTTGCCATTCCTGCTATCACCGGACCAAATATTTTGTAAAACACCCAGAGGCGTTAACTCCGCAGACATCGGTGACCCAGAGACGTTCCACTTCTTCTCTCGTTTTTTTTTTAATTTTTATTTATTTTTTTTTAATTTTTTACCAGGGTGGGCCTCTCCATCGGGCAGGTTATGTGCTCTTTCTGAAATCAGTAAACACACTGACCACAAAGTACCATTCACTGTGCAGAACTCTAGTATCACCAAGAGAGGAAGTCAATAAACCTGTACCTGGACTCCAATTGGGATCTGAGAAAGGAAAGAGGGCAGGCTCCAGGAAAATTCCCCACTGCCCCGCCCCCTGTCGCCTCCGGCCTGGGCTCTATCTAGGGGCCAGGTGAGTCCAGGGCCCATCTTCTCTGAGGGGAAAGGGATCTAAGAAAAGCTAAGGTGTCAGCTCCCAGCTTGTTGGGGGGCAGGGGGATAAAAGGAGGTGGATTCCCGACTGGACCCGGTGTAAACCAGAAACCCGGCCTTCCGAGCATAGAAGTGTGGCCCGCTGGGACTCAAGCACCGGAGAGTCCCGGACCCTTGGGGAAGGGGAGACCCCTCTGGGTTCGCTCGGCTCGCAGTTCCGATGGCGGCGGCCGCAGGTTGCTGGAGGCTTTGCTGGCATTGTGAACTCACTTAAACCAGCGCGGTTTGAAAACAAACACGTGCAGCTTCCCTGCCGCACTATTTTGGGAGTCTGGCCAGAGACTTTCACAGGCCGGAGCTCCGCGCGGTTCCCTCCTCAGCCCGCTAAGGGCGGGGGCGCTTCATGCATATTCAACAGCACGTGGAACCGCGGGCCACGAGCTGCGCATGCGCCTTATCCGTCCAGCACGGCCGGAGCCCGCCGCGGCGATTTGGAAAGCGCCCCGCAGGGCTGCGGGGTGGCGCCGGAGGCCCCTCAACCGCTAGCGGCGGAGCCTTCTGTGGAACTCTGGCTGTATTTCCCTGTACACCCACCCTCAAGGCCTGCGTTTCCATACTTTCAAGAAATTCTCCAGAGCAAACATTTCTCTTTAAGTACACCCCACCCCATCCCCTATTCTTTCTTCCAGTTCCATCTTCCTCCCCAACTTTAGCTTTCTTCACCACAGGTAGGATTTCCCCCCGCCCCCCATAGACAGAAAAGAATTTGAAAGAATCACAGTTTGAGCTTCTCTCACCCCGTTTACATCCCTATTTTCTGTACCTTAATGGAAATTGTTACACAATGGAGATGAAATAACAATTTTTAGATTTGCTAAGGTGGAATGCCTTAGAACTGGTGTTAATGATTACAATGTGTTTACACCCACACTCAATAGCTTATCTTGTGCTGTAGGTGGAGGTATCACTGTGCACCTTTCGCATATGCCTACAGAGATGCCCCACAAGCATCAGAGGCAGTCAAAATGTTGTGTTCAGTTGACAGTCACAAGTCTGTGGCATCATCACTGCCAAATGTAGTTTTCATATTAGATAGCTAAATCTGATTTCTTAATCTTAATAAAATAACTCACCTCTACTGTGCAGCATCATTTGGAATCTTCATATAGTTTTATTAGCTCGTCTTTTTCAAGTGGAAATCAACCTTAGGAACTGATGAACAGATTCCAGCTTGTGGGGTAAAAATAGCCCTTACTTTGGCCTGATGTGTTTCCTCTTGCTAAAGAAGAGACTCTGGAGCCAGCCAGCCTTGCATAGATTAAAGGAGAACATTGTTCATATTCTGTGCCTATTAAATCATCATATTTGCAATAGATGTTGAGAAAAAGGGCTTGAAAGTAACATGCTATAAGTTATGAACATTTTTTTTTACTTCTTGCCCCAATCTAGCAGTTATCATTCTAAAAAACATAGGTTGTTGTGTAGTTTCCCCCATAAAAATTTTACTTTCTGTATCTATTTTTAAATAAATGGACATATATATTACAGAGGCAGATGAGGTGATTAAAAAGCTAAAAGAGAAGGTATTATAGATAAAGAGAGACTTTTGTGGCTTGACTGGCATAGATGGGATCAATCTTTCCACTACCATTCTGTTTTCAAGAATTCTAAAACCAAAGTGAGTGATATCAACTGTGCCTCTCTGAGAAAGCAACATTCCCCCACCCCAATATGAACTCATAGTTCAGAGAACTACATTTGTTGCTAGAAGAGGTGAGAATTCTTTACCTAGAGAGAATGAGTAATTAGTATTTTAAGTTGGAAAAAGGAAACAACTGCAAGTAAGGAATGTGTAAAATCTGATGTCTTTATATCTAGTCAACAGTGGGTTAAGGGCACAAGCTCAGTGTCTTCATTCTGAGTGTGCAGACCCCATGCAGTCATTCCCCAGAACACTTGAACTGAATCCATTCTTTAAGACTCAGGACCTTCTCCAAGTCACTCTATGCTCAGGTTCCAAGTCTACCAGTAATGACTCACACAGGATCCAGGACACTGATTACACCTTGAAACTCAAAAGAGAAACTTCTGGAAGGTTTGGGACTGGGTGAATAATTTGGGGTGTAGTTCTGTAGGCAACCCTTTAAAAGTTCTGAGAAAACTTCACAATCAACAAATAAAAACATCTAAATGCCAAGCCCATCAGTGAAGAAGGTTAGTGCTATTTTCATTGTCAGCTAAAGCCAAAAAAAAAAAAAAATGATAAGCAGATGGGGCAATTGAAAGGTTACATCTTTCTTTTGGAGGTGGTTTGCTTCTTAAAGGTTAACTTGAATGCTTGACTTTAAAAAATCAAAATCATCAGCTGCAAATGCTTAAAGCAGTTGGGGGTAGCTTTTGAAGAAGAAAACAAAGGATCTGAAATGTTTGAAAATTACTTAGCCCCCATATAAATGGTGCTTGTATATTTATATGCTTGCTCTATAAATGTACACACACATACCACAACTCATTTCTCTTCATTTCTCAAATATGATTGCTTGTACTCAGGCATTTTCTGTTGACACAAAATAACATTTTAATAACTTGTTAGCTGTTCTAATCATTTGATAGTATCCAGAATACAATGCAGTCACAATATGAACAAGTACGGCCTTCTGCCTAAATCAAAATCCACAGCTACACACAGAAACCAGCCATTTGCAGCATCTTCAGCTCCTGCTAAATAGAGTCTAACAATATATTTCGCTGTTCACATTCATGTATTTCAAAACCTAATAGTCCATGAAGAAAAGTATGAAGAATACATCTCAAGAAGCAGACATTAAAGGTACCAGAAAAATAATAGACTACATTTAAGTTTGAAGCATTATTTTAGGCGACTTACATCATTAATGACTCTTTCTTTGTGGTGGGCGTTGGAGCACAGACTGCAGAAGTGGGGATTGCTATATATGTTGGCTTCTATTATAAAAGTGCCTTTATGGGGAGACTATTCATAAATACACATAAACATACACAGAAGACTCCTCAGATGATTACTTAAAAATTATTTGACCTTCAAAGTCTAAATAAATATTTGAAATATGAAGTTGTTTTGAAATAAACATTTACCTCTAAAATGTATCTTCAAAATATTCTACATAAATCATCATATGTTATATTTCATTATCACACTCCAAAGAGGCATGAGTTACATAACAAATAATGAGACATTCATAATCTTAAATTTGAAGTAAACAGCATTTAGGGATGGTCAAAACAAAGGTAAACTCATCATTTACTATCTTATTGAATTCGGAAGCAAAACTCCAAAAGTACTGATATTATTATGATTATCACTACCATACTTTTATTAGGTTCCCAGATAACTTTAATGAAAAAGGGAAAGATTATTAATTGAGCTGTTATCTTTCCTAGAGAGATGAGCTATCTTTATTCCTTTCTATTTTTAACTATTGGGCTCAATGTCTGGAGTCACTTCAAATACTACACTGTTAATCAATTTCATCTCTCCAAAGCTGAACGGGGCCAGGTTTTGGTCTCACAAATTTTTAGAGCTAGCAGCAATTCCTGCTTAGGTGTTCTACTTTCTTAAATATCTCCAAATTTTGCAAGGTGGCGCTCTTTTCATGAAAGGCCAATATTCCTGCAATAATCAGAATAACTATTTTTAAAAAGTTTTAAACAACACAGTCCCCAGTTTTCTATGTGCTACTGGAAGGGCAGCAAACCCCTTCATCAGCAAATAAGACTTTGTTGCCTAAAAATGACAAATACAACTAGCAAGAGATGGAAGGAACAAGTCAAAGCAT